ATGTTAGAATTTTACGTAGTCTTAAAATCCATATTTAGAATCTTACCTGTTTCTATAATAATGAATGAAATACCAAAGTAGTGATAGAATTGAAGTAGCAGGAAAATTATGTTTGCTTTAGCATCAGAAAAGTGAATCGATGTTGAAATGAATTTTTGTGTGTGCCAGATCGAAGAGAGTGTGCCAGTGACAAGAATAGTGTAAACATAGAATTACACTGGTTATAGTTCAAATACGTTCTGAAAGACAATCTTTAAGGAAATAGGAGAAATCAGGGGATATCAGTGTATCAGTGAACCTAGACCAGCCTCTCTTTGTATATATATATATGGTGATAGAGTTAGATATAAAATCAGTGTCTTACTGGCACCAGTTCAGAAAACAAGATCTTTTTCTTGAAAATGCCCATCCTGTTTTTTTTTTCTATTTTAACAACTATTTGGATTTGTATGTATTTTTCTATGTGAAAAATATACGTAGTCTTCGTTTTTATTCCAGTATTAATAATTGTTTATGTACTGTTTCTCCCCTTTGCATTCAGTGAAATTGAACTTGGTCAAAGATTTGCTCAAAGGAGCAGCATTACATGAGTGAAAAGTGGAATGCTCGTTGCCAGAGCAGGAAAAGATTACACACTATCATGGCACGGAAGAGAAGAGGTTTGGCTTGGAGGGCAATAATGTTTATTATCCTCCTTGAATTAATGATTGGGGGCCAGCAGCTATTTTCTCAGGATAAATGGTCCACCCAGCTTCTCTACAAACAAGTCTGGGGAGGCTTACTTTCCATTTTCACATTTATGAACCTCTCCACACAAGCAGATTGTTAACAAAGATTAATGGACTTATTAAACATCTGAGCGAAATCATGAGTGAGCTTGTTTCGTTTTGTTTTGTTTTTTTCTGGCTTCAGCTTTTGACAAGAAAAAATTTAAATGTAGTTCAGCTAAGACCCAACTATTATAGGACAATTCTTTTTTTTTTTTTTTTTTAATTATAGGGCAATTCTGTGTTTCTGTTAATGTATTCAAAAAACGAGCAGTGGCTTTCCCTGGGGGAAAAAGTGCTGGTTGGCAACTTAAAGAAATAGATTTTTGTCTACTTTGGATAAAACAATTAACTTCTTATGTAAAAGCAATAGTTGAAATGTGATGTCATTTTGTTCGGAATGTTGTGAGCAAATAAAAAATGTGTCAAAATTGTTATATAAGCCTCCCTCCTAATCCTTCCGTCTCTTCCCTTCCTCCCCCATCCCTTTTTTAAGTCATTTATATTCATGAAATAGTGTCTTTCTTATTTAATCCTTTATTCATGTTCCTATAGATGAATCAAAATACACAGAAAATTTTTATTTTTATGACTTTAACTCATCCACTAATTACCTATTTAAGATGTTATTGGGTAATAGCAATTGGTTATGAGACCAGAAAAGAAGCTGCCACTCCCACCCCCCATTCTTACAAAGGATAGGAATAATTCATACTGCACTGCAGTATGTATGTTTTACTTAACTTTGCAATGAATCTTAGACACATTTTTATATTAATACATAGCTTCCTTATTCGATTTACATACAGCTGCAGGGCATTCCTGTGTGTGTGTGTGTGTGTATGTATCTTATTTTGAACTAAAAAATACTACATATGTCACTGGTTGGATACAGCAAAAGCAGTACTTGTTAAAGTTAGTACTAATTATAGCTTTAAATGTATGTATTGAAAAAAGAATGGCTGAAAACTAAGACAAAGCAATCATTTCAGGGAGTTTGGCAAAGAACAAAATAAACCTAAAGAAAATAAAGAAGGAAATACTAAAGGCAAGAGCCCAGATACACGGAATAGAAATGCATACCATAGAATCAACAAAAGTAAAAAGCTGTTGCTTGAAAAGACTAGTAATACTGATAAACCTTGGTGAGATAAATTAAGAATAAGGAAGAAAGCAAACAATGATATCAAGAATTAAATATGAAACATCACTACAGATCCTGCAAACACTGAAAAGAAAATATATTAAGGATAACCTCAAAAATTTGAAAATTTAGATGAAATATAAACATTTCTAGAAAAATATGCTTACCAAAACAAAACTGTACAAGAAGAAATAGGGAAGCAAAAAGTCCCAGCATTGTTATGTGGATTCAGCAATTTAAAATCTCCATTAAAAAACCTACAGTTCTGTGTGGCTTGCACTGACGAGTTAACACATTTAAGAATAAAATAATGACAGTTTTCACAATCTCTTCTACATAAAAGGTGGACACCCTGTAATTCATGAAACTCATAATTTTGATGACTCAAGTCCAACCAAAACAGAATGAAAAAGAATAATTATATGCTAGTGTCATTTTAGATGCTGTAATGCTAAATAGAAGCATATAATGAACTACATACAGATATGCTGTTTTAATGTGTGATCAGTTATAACTCAGTGGGGTTAATTCCCAGAATAATAATAATGAAATTTACCACATTAGCATTTGAAAATCACATAATCTTAAAAGTTGCAGAAAAAGCATTTGATAAAAATTCAACATCCATTCATGTTAAAAACTTAGCAAATAAGAAATAGAAAGGGGTTACCTTAATTTTACAAAATGTATCTATAAAACAATAGCAAATATATTTAATGGTAGAACATTGGGATGAGAATTAAGAAAGGATGTCACCGCTTGTATCTGTCCGTTTTTGCCACAGTAACAACGTATAACAACCAATCACACAAAAATCTTAGTGGCATACAAAAAAAAGCATTCCCTCCTCACACATGGGTAGGTTAACCAGGCAGCTTTGCTAATCTCCACTGGATTCAGCTGGCCTTAAATACAGGTCATGGGTTCGGTTCCTGTCAGCTCCATGTGATTACTCATCTGGGACCAATGGGCTACCTGAGGCATGCTCTTTAATGGTGCAGCAGAAACACAAGGACAAGCCCAATGGCTCACAGGTATTTCAAGCCTTTGCTCACTCACATTCCCTTGGTCGTATAGCAAGTCACATGGTCAAGTCCAACATCAATGGAACAGGGAAATGTACTCTATTAGGAAGGGCTAAGGAGTGAACATTTGATGAATAATCCAAATTGTCACAGTACATCTATTCCAAATTGTGCTAGAGTCCTACCTAGTACAATAAAACAAGTGGATGGAAAGAAAGAAAAGTTATTATTCATAAATGATATAAATGTGTACATAGAAAATCCAAGAGAATTGATCCAATATCAAGGGTAGAGGAGGAATTTTTGATCATTTATCAAGGGTGAGGGATTCTGGCTAAACCTATTTAGCCTGATTCATATTAAATTGCGCCCTTGTATACATGCCTAAGAAGGATTTAGTAGAAAAAGGCAGCTCAGAGAAGCCTGACTATAAGGTTTGATCAAGGGGGAGCATCTTGTCACTACTGCCTACTGCCTGACAGCAAAGAAACGAACTTCTATGTTTTCTTCCGTATTCTTGACAGAAACATGCTACTCTAAGGTTGTGGTTTGTTGTAGTTTGGATTCCCCCAGAATCAGACCTTAAGATAAGGATTTGTCATTCATTTGGGAGGTGATCCCAGGAAACACTGGTAAGGGAGTGAGGGAATTGAAGTCATCCCATAAAGGGTTTTGTATTAAGCAAAATAATACTGTGTAACAGGATTTTGAGTCCCTGGGTGAGGGTGAGGGGACTAAAGTATTTATATAAAAACTCCCATCAGTTATTGGGCAAGGGCCGCTCTCCCAGGGGTGTGTTGTTTTCCCTGTTTGTCTATCGCGCCATGCGCAGGCGCACAAAGATGGCTCTGACGGCCGGAAGACCCTGTAGAGATGCTAACGTGACAATGGAAGTCAGGCCCACATGCGCCAGAGTGGTGAGATCAAAGTGATAGATGAGGGATATTGCAGACATCTGCTACAAGACCATTTTACAGGTAACAGCAGGGGCAATAAGCACCAGGAAAACCTCATAAAGTCAAGGGGGGAAAAACACAACAGTAGATAGAATGTGGAGCTGATGAAAACAGAATGCTGCCTGATAGCCTGTGGGCTTCCTGGCCCTTCCGCCATTCTTTGTTTTTGGCTTAAAACAAGCCTGGGCTTTGTCTTATACCTCTTTTTTTAATCTCTTGTTTATTCTTTCCCTATTTCTTCTGCACTCGGTTTGTAACACGAGAAAAAGGTTACTGCAGGTGTTAATGATGAATTTAGCTTGGCTGGAAAGATACCTTGAAGATTGGTTTCTATCTCCCTAGGAATCTCAGACTGTTCTAACCGAAGGTACCTTCTGGCTCAAAAATTCTGCAATTCTGGAATAGATATCACAATTCTAATAACAATATGCCCAAATGATTATAGTGTCTTAGAAGTTGTTATAAGTGCCATAAAATATAGACTCCCGAAATTAAAAATCTGTACCAATTACATTTAAAGTATGTTTATGCTTATTGATTTCTAAAGACCTTCACTTGCTATTGGGCAGTTTTGTAATCTAGGTGAACTGCAAGTTTTACACTCAGAGATAGATCCAAAATGGCAAACTTTCAAAGGTATTAGCAGTACTTTATTGGATATATTAACTGACAACTGGGTTAATACATTAAAGGGAAATAGCATTTTCCTGGATAACTGTTCATGTTTAAGTATTTATAAACATAAAATGCACCACTCAGTTTTCCTCTCCTGTCAACTTGAATTATAATTAAAACATGTTAAATTTCTTCATGTTCAGTCGTAAGACTCCCTCCCTCTCAAAACAGCCAATCAAATGCAGTCACTTATTTGCACATTGCATGCGCCAGGGTTCATACTGAGCATTTTGCTTTCCCCTTCCAAAAACACGGAGAATAAAAGTCACAAGAAATAAATATTAACTTTTCTTTAAAAAGTCCAAAACTCTCTATCAGAATTCCTTTATCTGCTTAGGGTGAAATAAAGGGAATAGGTGTTTTGTTTTCGTTTTTGAGTTATCCGGTCAGCAAAGATTCCCACTGGTATGTCACCACCTTTTCCTGAAGATGATTATGTGGCACAGTTCACAGTCTGCCCTGACTTCATCAGTTCTCGTTTCAGCTGTTCGAAGCACACAAACATAATGACGTTCCAGGATCCGAGTCGCAAGAAGGAAGGTACAAATCTAGAAAAGGGCATGTCACCATTCTCTTGAGTTTGTTAGCTTTTTTTTTTGTCAGAAAGAGAGAGAGAGCACGCGCACAAGAAGAGGTTGTGGCAGGCAGAGGGGGAAGCAGGCTCCCCACTGAGCAAGGAGCCGATGTGGGACTCGATCCCAGCGCCCTGGGATCATGACCTGAGCCGAAGGCAGACGCCTGACAGACTGAGCCGCTCAGGCATCCCTAGTTTGTTAGAATTCTTAAAGCTATTATCACACAAACAGCTTCTGCTTCTCATCGCACTCTCTTCTCACGTAAATTTAGGCACTTAAAAAAGTACCTATTCCTCACCTTGCCAGCGATGCCCAAGATAATGTTTCATCTAGCTCTCTAATACTGCTTCAGAACAACAAAACCCAGACGATCACGTCTATCCAAATACACAAACGGCCTTCATTCCCACCGCACCAAAGCACGTGTCCTTTCTGAAAGGGCATTTCCCAATAACTCTCCTTTTTTGAGGAGCGGGGACATTTTTGCTTTCTTTCGCTCTACTTTCTGAATGGGAGGTAGGCAACTGTTGAAAGAGGAGGAGGAGGAGAGGGCCCCTGGGTGGCTCAGTTGGTTGGGCGACTGCCTTCGGCTCAGGTCATGATCCTGGAGTCCCGGGATCGAGTCCTGCATCGGGCTCCCTGCTCAGGGGGGTATCTGCTTCTCCCTCTGACCTCCCCTCTCTCATGCTCGCTCTCTCTCAAATAAATAAAATCTTTAAAAAAAAGAAAAGAAAGAGGAGGAGGAGAAAGCAAAGAAAAAGCGATGAGTAAGTGGACCATTTTCCAAAGTGAAGAAATTAGTGCTGTCCAGATCTTGGCAGTTCTCAGCCTTAGAAGACTGTGAAGGAGCTAAGGGCATTTTTTTTTTTTTTTGGGTTTTGGGTTTTGGATGGTTTGTTTTTGTTTTGTTTGTTATGCTGTCAAACTGTGCAGACCAAATGATTGATTTTGAATGCCTGTTTGCAGCAATGAGACATTCAGGAGAAAAAGATGTCATCAGTTAAATCTGCCTTGGATAGATTTTTTAAAAGAGATCTGGCCTATAAAAATCATGCCCCGAAGGTTTTTGGGTTTTTTTGGGGGGGGGTTATGTTTTGTTTTGTTTTTGTTGTTGCTGTTTTTAAGGTCTCAACACATTTCTCCTGACTCCTGGGTGTATGTGTGTGTGTGTGTGTATTTTAATTGTGGTACAATGTTCATAAGTTTACCATTTTAACCATTTTAAGTGTATAATTCAGTAGCATAAAGTACATTCACATTGTGAGCAACCGTCACCACTACCCATCTCCAGAACCTTTTGGTCATCCCTAACTGGAAACTGTACCTATTAAACAATAATTCCCGGGCGCCTGGGTGGCTCAGTCAGTTAAGCATCTGCCTTTGGCTCAGGTCATGATCTCGGTGTTCTGGGATCAAGCCCGGTGTCAGGCTTCCTGCTCAGCATGGGGAGTCGGCTTCCCCCTCTCTGTCTGCCCTTCCCCCCACCCCCCACTCGCACTCTCTCTAATAAATGAATAAAATCTAAAAAAAAATCAAACCAATAATTCCCTACGCCCCCACCTCCCCTCAGCCTCTGGTAATCACCGTTCCACCTCTGTCTCTATGAATCTGACTACTCTAGATACTCACATAAGTGAAATCATACAATATTTGTCCTGTGTCTGGCCCATTTGATTCAGCATAACGTTTTCAGTGTTCATCCTTGTTGCAGCATATATCCCCAAAAGGTTTCAAGTTTGAAAAAAAATAAAAATATTGTTAAATGGTTAATAACTGAGATATCCATTCTAAATTAATTTTATAATATATTTCATTTATATTAATGTATCATTAGTGCTGATTATGGTGAATTGAAAACCCTGTGTATATGTGTATTGTGCATTTATGCTTATTTTATAGTCTCAGGCATTGCCTTACAATTATAAATGGTTGTAGAAGTTGCTGTATTATCACTAGTTTAACTATATTATTTATAGTTACTATATCACTAGTTTAACTATATTATAACTAGTTTAATTTTATGGATACATACATTAGTTCATACTGTATTTTCTTAGGAAGGTAGTATCCAATGTAATACTGCTTAATGGGAAATGTGATCTACTACACAATACTAGTTTCAAGGTGAGTGTAATAATTATCCAAACCACATCATTTTCTGCATGATTTTTCTAGGTCAGTGGCAATGATTTTTCTCTAGTTTTACTTTAATACAGTCAAAAAATCTGAGTCCATCAAGTTAAAATAGTGAAAATTCCAGCAATCACACTACTGGATATTTACCCAAAGAATACAAGAACACTAATTCAAAAGGATACACGCACCCCTATGTTTATAGCAGCATTATTTACAATAGTCAAGATATGGAAGCAGCCCAAGTGTCCACTGACTGATGAAGACACACACACACACACACACACACACACACAGGAATATTATTTAGCCATAAAAAAGAATGAAATCTTGCCATTTGCAATGACGCAGATGGAGCTAGAGAGTATGATGCTAAATGAAGTAAGTCAGTCAGAGAAGACAAATACTGTATAATTTGACTAATATGTGGAATTTAAAAAACAAGCAAAGGGAAATAGAGAGAGACAAATCAAGAAATAGACTCTTAACTATAGAGAATAAACTGATGGTTACCAGAGGGGAGGGGGGGAGGGGAATGGGTTAAATGGTTGATGCAGATTAAGGAGTACACTTGTTGTGATGAGCACTGGGTGATGTATGGAAGTGTTGACTCACTATATTGTACACCTGAAACTAATATAGCACTAACGAATTAAAATAAAAACTTAAAATTAAAAAAATTATTTTAATAGTGAAAATCACATCTTGTTTTCTTCTAGCCCTTTATTATGCTTTCCCTCCACTTTATAGTTCTCTAGCCCTGATCAGGCAAAATCCTGTCCACATTCCCAATAGATTGGGACCAGGGGAAAGGTCACTGAATTTAAGTGAGCCTCTGATCAAGGCTGAGAAAATCTTAATATCACAGTTTTCCATTTTCTGGCCCAGTGGAATTAGTGAATTGGAGATAGTTATGGCAAGGAAAAATAGACACTAAGCATATGGCATAGACTAAGGCTGGTCAATTATTTATTTGACAGAGAGAGACACCGTGAGAGAGGGAACACAAGCAGGGGGAGTGGGAGAGGGAGAAGCAGGCTTCCCGCCGAGCAGGGAGCCCGATGCGGGGCTCGATCCCAGGACCCCGGGACCATGACCCAAGCCGAAGGCAGACGCTTAAAGACTGAGCCCCCCAGGCGCCCCTACGGCTGGTCAACTATTTAGACAAGAAAGCATCCCAAAGCACACAGATGGCCTGAACACAGCATTATAGACAGAGAAGACCATATCCTACCCTTTGAAAAAAGCCAATGGTCCTTCCTTAGTGAGCATTGTCACGGCATAGTTGGGCACACTCGTGTACTGTCCTGGTGGAGAATTAACAAATCGGGTTTTTACCACATCCACTGGTGAGGACAGGACTGTTGTGCAAAATCCAGCGATAAGAGCTGACACGAAGTGGCAGGGTAAGTCATCTAAAATGGATCAATGAAACAAGTCAGCAGCAGACTTTTGGAAGAAGCTTCTAGTTTTTAGTTATCTATCAGATCCTTGGAAACCTGATGATATCAGGAGACCAATGTGGATGTCTTTATATAAATAAATAAAATATAATAAGGAAGGTTTTACTTACCCGTACCAAAAAAGATGACAAAGAGTACATGGCACAGTGATGTGATTTAGAAAAATAACCTGTCAGTCTGCTCTGTGCCCTTAGGGTATGGCATAATGCCTGAGACACAGGCATCTAATACTTTTTCATTGAATTAAAGTCATTGTCCAGGGAGACTTTCAATATCTTTAGAACCTGTTAGACTATCTTAGGAACCTAGCCAACGGTACTACTTTTTGGATGAAAACACTGATGAGCTCCTTACATAACCAGTTCATTTGGATATAATGTGGGACAGACTCACCTCCTGAGTTATGCTATATAAAGAATAAGAGGCTAACCAAAGTCCCATATATTATAATTAAATGAGAACAACGCTGATGTAAGAATATAATTACACTTTCTCTTTGTTGCAGAAAAAAATTGGTTGCAGCAAAACTTCTAAAAGTTAGGGTTTTGGGGTTTTGGTTTGTTTTTTGTTTTGGTTTGTTTTGTTTGCTTAAAAGTTCTATCTACTGTTCAAAATTACTTAATTTTTTTAACTGTTATGATTAAGGGATTCAGTACTATGTAGATAGAGAACCTCCCGGATGAGATTGTAAATGTGCAGACTCACAGGTTACATATCTAGGAGGAAGTTACCTGCTAGGAGCTTCTTTTTCACAAGGGCCTCCTTCATTAGGTCGTATGTAACTAGCTCTGTACAATTGATGATGACATTTCTTGTCAGATTGGGAGTAGTCCCTAGAAAAAAGAAAATGTATAATAGCTCCATTATATGATAAGGTGCTAATGGATATATGTGTTTTAATAATTATCAAATTCACCTTGAAGTCAGTTACCTTTCCAAAGGCCTGTCAGGCCTTCTGTTGTCGCTATGATTCTGTAAGCATTGTAAGTCCCAGTGTAGCGAGGTTTGAGACCATGCAGATGGCTCTGTGCTTGAAGTCTGACCTTCACGACCTCTGTGGGTTGCCCGATGAACACTGCCACTCCTCCAGTTGTCAGACCAGCTGCAATCTTACTTCCTAAACTAGCTGTTGCTATCCGGAGAGAAAAGATATTTATCAAGCAAAAATGAAAAACAAACAAAAACAAAAAACAAGACCCAGAGTGCAACTCTATGTCTTTTTTAATTTTAGTGGTTAGTATTACTGTATCTTTATATCTTTTCTATTTCCCTAATGCTTGTGCATGTGATGATCATGTACTGAGTATGTACTAAATCACTTTAGGCCTAGAAACTTCAAAGTTGACTAGAATTAAAAAAATAAATAAATATAGACTTTCAAGGACAAAGGAAACACAATGCCTACTTAAACAGTGCTTAGTTCTTTCCTATAGCTAGCTCTCTTTTTCAGTTTTTTCCAACTGGGAGCAGGTACCAGTCACCAATGATGCTCCCCCTTCCTCTTATGGATGGTAATGTTAATTATTGGACTTAGGGGTCTTAGGAAAATCCCAAGTGGACAAACTGCCCCCAGATGAGATGTTGAGTGGTATTAGGCTACAACAGATTACAAAGGGAACAAAAATAGAAAGAAGTGAAGAAAGTGATTTTTTTTGAAAACTTGAAAAAGGAGCTTAGATTACTCAAGACAGATATTATTTAATAAACTATACATAGTCTTGGAGCCTCCCTCCCCCAGGCTCATTTCTATCATTGAAGTATGGACCAAGAACATTTACTCATCAAGGACTTTCTCAGTCTGTCTGTTTCCCAATCTGTAAAATGGAGATAACAATATCTATTTCATAGAGTTATTGTGTGAGTTAAAATAATATCAATATAGCATATAACATACTGTCCTGCATATAGAAAGTACATAAGTTCTTTTCATAACCATATGATTGTCCTCTTTTCTCCTCATGCTTGTCCAGGAGCTGAGCGTACAATAGGTAACCATGTTTTAATTGGCAAGATCGTATGATTACAATTCCCTTCACTTTGGGCCCACATTTATAATCTTATTTTGATGCACTCATCCTGTCCTCCAGTCTGTTTCTCATTTCCCCGTCAAGCCCTTTGAGGGAGAGGCAACATTTTCTGTCTTCACTTCTCATGGCTCTCCTCATAGTTCCTCCTCAAGCCTCCACAACCCAGCTTCCATCTCCACTACTCCCCTTTGAGGTTTTGGCGAAGGAGACCCATGGGTTCCTGCTGTTAGGCACATCCATCATGTTTTGTCCTTTCCACACCAGATCTCTCTGCTCTGTTTGACCCAACTAATGGTTCCTCCTGTAACTCCCTGGAGTCTAGCCCAGACATTTCTCCTAAGCTCATGTGTTGACTGGATGTTACTTGTTGCCACATCTTCAAATGAATGTCTTACCTTCCCCCTCAGACAGTTTCCATATCCCTCCCCTCTGTGAATGGTACCTTTAGCCAGAACCTCAGAGGCCATCCTCCATCCCAGCCTTTCCCTTATGCCAGCTGCCTACCAAGTTCAGTCAGCTACACTTCCTGAATCTTTCCGATCTCTCTTCTCCTTCCCTACCGCCATTGTTGTAGCCTACCCTGATCGTTTCTTACTTTCTAACTTACCCCCTTCCTGCCCTTTTTCTATACATCCCCTAGATACTGCTGCCAAAGTGATCTTTCAAAAATATAAATGGTTTAGGCCACTTTCCTGCTTAACATTTTTCAATGACTTCCCATCACTGTAAGGACAAAATCTAAACTTCTTAGCATGGTCTGCAAGGTCCTTTGTGATCTGGCTCCTTCCTACCTTGGCTTCACCTCTCCCTCCTAGCCCTCCCTCCCTGCCCTGTGTGTTCTTGCCACTCCTCTCTGAGCCTTTGTACATGACCTTCACTCTACTTGGAAGGCCTTTCCTCACCACTTCACCTTACTACGCCTATTGGTCTTTCAAGATTTGATTCAGACATCAGTTTTTCAGGAAAATCTTGCCCGACCATGCCCCCAAGGCTAGGTAAAATATTCCTCTTCCATGTGCCCAACATCCTGTCATTACTTCTAACAGAGCACGTGTCACAGTACATACTCATCTATTGACCTATTCACAGCTCATAGCTCTTGCCTAGACAGATATCTATAATCTACGCATCCAACAGTTTCTGGCACATGGCAGCTCAATAAAGCTAATGAAATGCATGGAATAGGCATAACATAGAATACTGCCAAAATATGTCCTATTAATTTAGTATCTAAAGTACTCAACAATTGGGTAGAACAGTCAACTGTGAAGGAAACTACCAGAATGGACAGCTTTATGTCTTTTGTGACTCTTCTCTTGCTACATCTACAAATAGGACAATGCACTATGGATCTCAAAGCATCTAGACTTTACTTTGAAACTATATAGAATAAACTCATTATATGTTTGTATAACTAACATTTATAACTTGTCCCATAAAGTTATGTAATCCTAAGGTCACTTTTTTTTTTTTTAAAGAAAAACAGACTGCCACATGCAGCACCTCATTTGGATGTGTCTGGAGTCTTGGAAGCCTGACTACCCTACATTCTCCTACAAATGGACTTGAGAGCTTGTTTGGGAGTTCTAGAAGGGGAGTGCAGCTACTCCTATACCATTGACCAAAGAATGGTCCTCCTATACTGGGGAAGGTCATCCTCTTTGACCATTTGCAGAACTTTGAGTTAATTTTTCTGCAGCCCATCCATCTTCTCCAGATGGATATCCAAATTAGGCCCAAAACTTCCATGACTGACCAGGTGATTTTTATAAGTATAAATGTGCATCTGAAAAATTGATTTTGCACATTTCCTTTTCTTTCTATGAACAGTGAGTACCAAGCTAATATTGGATGTCTGCTTGCCAATTTGTTATTAAGACCACTACCCTGCACGTAACATTGCTTGAACAGAGCTGGGCCCAGGGCATGTCCCTGGCTATCTGCCCCTCCCAGGAATGCTCATTGCTTACTTTCTTTCCCTGTGCTGAAGAACTCCTGGACGGTGTCATAGAGGCCGATCCTAAGAGAGGCAAAGCTTATTTGTCTCTGGAGACCAGCAGGCAGCCCACTATAGAGTTTCATTGGCCCTTCAGTTTTTGCCAGAGTGGTGACTGTACCCAGGACACCTTTATACCTAATGGCTCTGGAGGTCTGGCATTCACCTTGGATCTGGAAATGAGAAAGGTGCAGGTCAGAGGGACGTAAAAATTGAGTAAGGAGTTCCTACCTGGTGAAGAAAAAACAAAGACTGGCAACAGGCTGTCTGTTCTCTGTGGAGAAACCTCAAGCCAAGATTTTTCCCACTGTTTTCCTATTTTCAGTTCGTTTTACCTTCTCAGCAACATCTCTATATCTCTGTATCTCTCTAGCTATATATATGAAGAGAGATTAGCTACGATGCGAATTTTGAGCATTCCCACCCTCCCTGTATAAATCCTCCAGAACCCCTAAGCAGCAGATGGGAAGGTGCCCCTACCAAATTAAGGAAGTCAAAGAACCTGACTTGTAAACTTAGCTCTTAGAACATTTAGTGCATCCTAACTTTGGGGGGCTTTCGCAGTAGTCATGGTCAACGTATCTTTCGTGGCTTCTAGTGGTTCTTCCGTTAATCTCAGAGAAGTTCCAGTTTCCCACCCCCATGCATCCAGTTCTGTGACAAGCCCACACCGTTAAGGTGGCCACCCGCCCTACCTGAGGAGTTGGTTAAACCAAAGCCGTTATCAAACGGGCGCACAGAATAGGTGTCCCCTCTCTGCCCTGAGACACCTCCCCATCCTCATCTCGCTCGCCACCTGGAGCCGGACTTTGGCCGTGTCCAGCGGGAAGGTGATCACATCCGCCACACAGGCCGCCACGCCAGCTGAGAATATCTTGACCGGCATCGTCTGGGGCACGTCCGAGGCTGTCGGCCCCGCCATCTTCGCTCAAAGAGCGGAGCGACGAGCGGGCGCAAGGACTGAAGGACTCGGCGGGCGCCCACAGGGCGGAATTTCTCCCTGCCTTTCCGCTCCTGTCCCGTCGGGACAGCAAACCGGCTCCCTGACTTCGCGGGAGGCGGTGCGCCGGCAGTGGCTGCAGGCGGAGCACAGCAGAGGGGCCGAGCCGGGCCGCGCCTCCCGCCTTCGCGCCCTAGTGCCAGGAGGACCCAGGGCGCGCAGGCTGGCGGCGCCCGTGCGCCCTGCCCGTGCCGGGCGACTTATTTAGCCCGCCGCTCCCGGGGTCGCCAGCTCTGGGCGGAGCCGGGCGTGGGAGGTGGCGGGGGCGTGCCCGGGGGCGCCCGGTCCCTCCCACCCGCGGCCTCGCTGCGCTCCTGGGGAGCCGCTCCCCGCGCACCTGGCGGTCTACGCCCCGCGTGTCCCAGGAGGGTGCACCGCGGCAGCCCCCCCACCCCGCGCCTGGCTGCGTGCCCTCGGCTGAGGCAGGGAGCGCGGGGCTGGGCGGGGGTGGCTTCCTAAACAAGCGCGATCTCGGGGATCCTGGTAAAAGGTCCTGCCGAGCTGGAGCTCTTCCAAGCGAGAATGGGGCGCCCCTTTTATTCCTCTGACTCCCCAGGAACCTTGCAGGCATCTTCTCAGCTTCCTTTCCTCTCCTATTAACTTCTCATCCTCCTTTCTTTTTTCCAACCGCCAAATCCAGACCCGGAAAATTCCCGGGCAGAAACCAAGAACACTCAGAACTTTTAAAAGAAATAAGGTGTTTCTTTTAAACACTTTTTTTTTTAAGAGGATGTCCGATGAGATCATTGACATACTAGAAAACAAAGAGTAAATTACTAAAGTGCTCTATAAAGCGAGATATAACTTGCTCCTTTTAATTTCTTAGGAGAGTGCAGTGGAAGGGACATTGGCAGGTCCCTTGGCTGAAGGTGCAGCTCTGCTGCTTCCCTTCCCTGGGTAAGTCATCTTTACTGCCACTTTCTGCTTCCTTCTGAGTAAAATGTGTGTCCAGAGACATCCCCAGGTGTGAAATCTGCTGCTAATTTACCTATAGGGATATGTTAAATATTGCAAAGTGTGTTTGTTTTGGAAGGAGGAGCTTTTCCTACTTCTGTCCTTGTGCAAAGATTTATTGTGAGCGTTCGTTTATTCTCTTGGTTCAAGAGCAGGGGAAAATGAGGTACAAACCCCCTAGAGAATAATCCCCAAATACTCTGTGAGAACAGGTTGTGTGTACTGTGCAACTGTTCAAGAAGCCATTCCTAGGCGACTTCCAAGGGAGGCATGCTTGAGGGATGTCGAGGAAGTCAAAACCCTAAAGGTAGGATGTGCTCTGGAGAAACAGAGAGGAGAAGACAGTGGGTTTCCTCCTCTGCAAACACCTGTTGAAATAAAGAGCAATTGAGGCAAGTAAGTGGCACGTATGAAGGCAGAGATTTGGGGAAAGCAGGGCGAATATATGGGAATGTGTTCTGTTGGCCTGCCTGAGACACTGGATGATGGGGAAGGAGAGAGCCAGGGTAAGCAGTTGGTAAAAGATGAGACTATAGAAGCCCAACGAGGCCAGCTTGAGGGATGACCTTGAAAGTCTGCTCCAAATGTGGATTCATGTTATCACCTCACGCATGGACAGTACTTTAAAGATTGTAAAGTGCTCTCACATAAATGTCGTATTTAATATAGTAGACGGTACAGCCTTATGAATGATTGGATATAGAGTCAAAGATTTTTTAGAGATAACTGAGTTTAAGAACATGGGTAGTAGGCTCGGTGATGGTGACAGCTGATTGTCGTGAGATGGTAAAGAGAGGTGATTTTAGGGGCACAAAGTTGAAATCAGCTTTTAGAGTCTTGGAATTATTTGAAGAGAAGGGTGTTTATCATAGGTAAAAAGCTACCATAGGAAACCACATATAACATGCTAAAAGAGCAAGAAATCAGAGCTGGGAGGTATTTGGGAGTCAGCAATACAGATGTGATGAAAGAGAGTACATTTTATTTATTTTTTTTTAAGAGGGTACACTTTAAACGGGACTGAGAACAATAGGACTAGGAAAAGGGTCATGGGCCAAGATGTAGGGGTACCCAGAGTTATGGGCTGGGAAGAATGGCCTTGTCAAAGGTAATATTATAGTGTATCCAGTCATGGAACCATGGTATTTGAGAATATAATTTGAGGAAGGGTGGGGTCTTGACTAGCATGAAGTTTAGAAGAAATGTCAAAAGAGGACAAAAATGAAGAAAAGCCTGTAGGGTTTGGCTCTAAGACTATTGGTCATCTTAGGGAGTGCACTGTGGTGGAGTCATTAGGTTGAGGCTGATGGCTAAGCAGAGATTGAGAATGTTGGGTATAGTGTGAGTAGATGTAAAGGGGGTGGGGGCATTTTTCCTGACTAACTCTAGAGAACAGCTGCTATCAACTGGTTAGTCCCCAACCCACAACCTAATCCTAACCTGAATCGTTCACAGTGTTCCATCTATAGTGGTTTTAAAGCATAATCACAAATTCCTCCCATTAAAAGGTGAGGGTCCATGTCCCTTCCCCTTGCATCTGGGCAGGCTTGTGAATGCTTTGACCAACAGAATAAGACAGAACTGATGCTCTGTAGTTTCTGAGGCTATATCATAAAAGTCCTTTCAGCTTCGTAGTCACTTGGAACACTTGGAGCCCTGGGCCACTACGTAAGAAATACAACTCCTCCGAGGTTCTCACACTGGAGAGGCCCCATGCAGACACTTCCAGCCCTCCCCACCAAGGCGCCAGATATGAGAATGCAGCTATCTTGGATTCTACAGATAAACTCACCCGCCCACTAGATACCACCAAGTCATCTCTGTCCATGTCAGTGGGACAGAAGAATCATTCAGCTGAGCACTACTCAAATGTTTGACCCATGAAATTGTGAGATATAATGGAATGGTGGCTGTTTTAAGTGGGAACACTGCCTTTACTTTTTTGAGAAGTTGGGGGTGGCTCTTCACCCTTTCCTCCAACACTACCTTCCTGATGAGGGCACTGGAGGAGGTGGGTGGGTATAGAATTTTTAGCTTTGGACTACAGATTTTGGATTCGTACTATATGGTACATTTCTGAAGGAGAAGCAGGGTAAACTGAAAGTTGCTTTGCTTCCATGAGGTACATGTTTGCCCGTTTCAAAGGCAGGTTATGGTAAACCAGAGGAGTGGGTGAAACGAAAGCCTTTAGAAGGGAAGAAAATATGAGGAAAAGACCCATTAGGATAAGAAAGGTGAGACCAGGTAGAAGGAGGGGGCCTGTGGTGGGATAAAGAGGCTGACTTACTTGAGACCACAGGAAGAAGGACAGCCTGAGCCTCTGGGGTAGTCATAGGCATGGTCAGTTCGAGACCTCTGCAGGAGACAGGATCGGTTTGGTTCAATGGTGACTGAGCCCCCGAGATGTGCCAGACACAATGCCAGTACTAAGGGTCAAAGAAGAAGCAGAAGTCAAAGGCTTCACATGAGGAGACCCTCATGAGAGGGTCACGGGAGCTCAAGACTGAAAATGATTCTGGATTCCAAGGAGCAGGCTACCTCACCCTTTCTGAGAGGCCCAGGGAAGTAGGAGAAAGTTTGCCTCAGGTTGGAAAGAACAGCAGGGTGGAGGGTGGCGTCCCCAAAGGGTCAGACTGCTCTTCTGGCACAAAGAAGAAGAGGTGAAGAAGAGGTCAATGTGAGCAAGGGTAACAGATCTTCTAGGACGTAGCTAAGGTGTGGCAGCAAGTTCCTAATGCACTAAATTCCTGTTTCCTCTTTGAAAATGTAGAGCAACATTTACAACTGTACTTGCTCAGAGGGTGGTCAGTTAGGAATCACTGAACGAAATGTCTCCATATTAAATAAAAAAGGATAATGTGCATTTGAAATGTTCTACACTTTCCCATAATTCTCTCACTAACCACCAGTAGGAAATACGGTGTTGTAGCTGTGTAGATAACTGTGCAAATGACAGAAGAGACAATTTATAAAAGAAGAAATACAAATTATAAAAATAGAGGGGATATATTTCATATCCTTAATAAAGTACATTACTTTATTATTAATACCTTGTTAACCTAATTAATACCTTGTCTCTACCAAAATTATAATTATAGTAACATATATACATTTTAATATCATAAACTTAATTTATAAATATACATAAATGACTGTTTTAATTACAAATTGTGAATGTGAAAAATATAGTAATTATAATATCAATACTATATTAATAATGGCATTATAAATTTGCATAATTCTTTCGGAAAACAGTTTGGCAGTATGCATTGAGCAAAGATAACGTCCATATCCTTTGATCTAATAATTCTACTTCTGGATATCTGCCCTAAAATAATTAGCCAAAATGTGAAAAAGTCATATATAGGATGATGCTTCTTACAGCTTGATATTTATAATAGCAAATTACTGGGAGTAGCTACATCAATCGGGATCCAGATGTGCGTATCTGGGTTTGTCTGAAGACTTGTGCATATTAATGATGCACATAGGTGTCTACCTGTCCGCCTTGATATGTAAGTGGAAAGAGACTGCCCTCAGGAATTGGGAAGGTAGGGAGATGACCAGAAGGCGTTTTCTTGGTCCAGCCCAGCCCAAAGACAGAAACTGTCAAGCTGTGTGTTCAGGGAAAAAATACTCCGTTTTCATTCCAAGGTGGCTTAGCACCGTAACTAAGAGAAAGAGGCCCACGTTCAAATTCTCTCCAAGATACTTACTAGTTGAGTGAGCGTGGACAGAGTACTTCCCTGAACTCAAATTCTTCACTTTTACAATGAATCTTCCTGAGTCATTAGGTTAGTCTTAATGGATCACTCTTCGTGTTTAGCACCAGGTGTACATAATTGTCATAAGCCTACGAAAGATGTATCCACTTTATGCACTTACCAAATACTTATGGAGCATGTAACAAGTGCTAGACGCTGTTCTAAGCACTTTACAAAATTTAACACACTTAAGTCCTCACATGATAGCCCTTTGAAAAAAAGT